GTTTGTATTTTTATGAAAGTGCCCTGATTTAAGTCACTTTTTATTACAAAAGGTTTTCTTTTTGAATTTCAATTTTCGTTTTCAGCCAACTCACCTTGCAATTTGTAATAACATTTTTATGATTTGTATTTTGTTTTGTAAACATTTGTGTTCCCACCAAATCTTTATTTGTCAGTCTGTGCAAAACTAATAGATTTGTTTACGACATCCTTTTATAATTGCAATGTAATTATTTACTGCATACAACCATTGTTGAGGCTGTACAATTGTACATTGTTTCTTTGGGAAGTTTTTGTTTTTTTTTATGATTAGAGAATTTAACATGGTAATTTCACCAAAAAAGACAAAATGCATGGTTACATCAAATTTACTGAGATGTAAATTGGAGCTGAAAAGTCAGATAATAGAACAAGTGATGAAGTTTAAATATCTAGGCATCACATTATCTAGCTACGAAAATCTCAAAACCAAAGTGAAAGATCATGTGAATAGAGCAAAAAGAGCCAAATACCTAAATGAAAGAATATGGGGAAATTGAAATATCAGGAAAGAAACGAAAGGCAGAATTTACAGTCATCAGACCAATAATGACATACGCGGCAGAAACAAGACCTGATATAGAGAGGACAAAAAGGATGTTAGAAACACTAGAGATGAAAACACTTAGAAAAATTGATGGTAAGACACTATGGGACAGAGCTACAAGTACAGATATACAACGTCGATGCAAGGTAAAGAACATCAAGTACTGGGTAAGATATAGAAGAGTAGAATGGACGACCATATAAGCCGAATGACAACAAATAGAGTAGTAAAGACAGCAAGAGACGATTCCTCAATAGAAAGACGGTCAGTAGGAAGACCACGGAAAACGATGGAACGAAAACATTTATGGAAGACACATTAAAAAACAGATAGAGTCATGTCTATATAAAAAGAAGAAGGAGAAGAAGAACTATTGTTGAAGTTTAAATGCATATTTGATATCTCCAAAATCGCTTGTCTAAAAAAAGGCAGGGTTTTCTCTATATCAAAACAGATTTAGACAGACAGTAGAGTTTTTAGATCAAGTTGATTCGTCACTGTAAGCATATTGTCTTCTTTTAATTTATTTTGTGCTTTTTCTGCTATTTCTAAATGGAAATCGCTTTTTTTTCTTAAATTATTTAGTTTATTACTATTTTTTTTATTTACTATTAATAGTCGCTTCAACCACCTGGGTCATTAGCCACATTAGTTTATATTAGTTACTACATTATAATAAATTATATAAAGATGTTTCTTTTAGAAATCTAATTAAGTTGTTAGTATTTAAATGTTCACCTAATACTGTTTTTAAGTCACTGGAAATATTGTTATTTTGTCTGTTAACTGTATATTTTCCACATTCTCTTAGGAGATGTTTAACATTTATTACTATTAAAACAATGTTTTATTTTAATTTCTAAACGACTACATACATTACAAGTATCTCTCTTATGCATTTTCCTGTAAAGATTGAATTTTGTCAAAGAAAAAAATGTTTGTATAAAGCAAAACTTTAAGAAAACTGGATTCCTTACTTCTTCGGAGTAAAACTCGATCATTTTTGCAGCAGTTGATTCTTCTGCAAGAAATTATGCTTTTGCGATTGACCGTCTGTATTGCGACATGTATTTCGGAGATTTATGAATATGATCAACAACTTCCTGGGGTCGAATGGGATCAGTTATATTTTGACCGCCACCTTTACCCCGACAGTCACAAACTTCCTCTAATCGCTTCAGCTTTTTCAAAACTGAATGAACTTTACAACTTGATATACCATTTGTAAAAAGAAACTTTTACAAACAGTGGTGCCACATAATCTATACACATTACTAATTTTTTTATTGGTTGACGCTTCTACTCGTTTTCTTTTGATTTTGATTTCTTTGATATATCTTCGTACTATTCTTCTTCTTTTAAGGCAGGCATGACTCTATTTGTTTTACAATGTGCCTTTAGTAAGTTATCGATTTATCGTTTACGTGGTCTTTCAATCCTACTGATCGTCTTGCTATTGGGAAATTTTCATTTGCTGTCTTTACTACTCTATTTGTTTTTATTCAGCTTGTGTGATCGTTTCATTTCACGCTTTCCTATCTTACACATTCCTTGATCTTCTCATCCTTGCATCTACGTCGCATATCTCGTATTTCTAGCTCTGTCCCATAATGTTTTATTATCTATTTTTTTTGTGTTTTCATCTGTGCTTTTTCTAACATATTTTTGTAATATCTGTATTAGGTTGTGTTTCTGCCACGTATGACCTTATTGGTCTGATTACTCTTTTGTAAATTCTGCCTTTTATTTCTTTTCCTATATTTTCATTTTTTCATATTGTTTTATTCAGGAAACTTGCGGCTCTGTTTGCTCTATTAACTTCATCTTCCACTTTTGGTTCGAGGTTTCTAAAGTTAGATAATATGATGCCAAGATATTTAAACTCCATCACTTGTTCTAATATCTGGTTTTCCAG